TGGGTTCACTAGAAAGAAGCCCAAACCTCAGCATTACACAGTATATGCATCTAACAAACCTGGACATGTACCCCCTGAATTGAAAACTAAAACACACACACACACACACACACACACACACACACACGCGTGTGCGCGCGCACGCACATACACACACACACACACACACGCACACGAAATTGCCCCTGATACAATATCATTAGCTATAGACTATTTGGATGTCATCAGTTTTACAAGCATTCTTTTTGTGTGCTCTATAAATTTTACTGCATGTATAGATTTGTGTAACCACCCCAAAATCAGGGCACAGAACTGTTTCATCACCTTAAAGAAACTCCCTTTTACTGTCTCTTTATGGCCATACCCTCATCAGAACCCCAACTTCTTCCAACCTTCTTGCCATCCTTAAACGTATTTCCTCATCTATGCAGTTGTTCGGGCTTTTTAAAATACTATTTTATAGTTCAAATATTTTGTTAAGAAGAATCTTAGCTAGTAGTTTTTTTATGTTAATTTTTATAGTTTTATTATTAACTATTATATTTTATTATAATACTATACTATTTTATTATTAACTATTAACTATTAATAACTATTATTAACATAATAGTTTTATTATGTTAATTTTTGTGTACTTTTTGCTTTGTGGATAATGAAAGGGATGTTTTTCTATTCTATTTTCTATCTTGTTACTGCTGGTTCACACAAAATTACTGGCCTTTCTAGCTCCTTTTTTTCTTTCTTTTTGATTGCTGTTTCTTCAACTCTTGTTTCTTTCTTTCTCAGTCTTATCTCTTTGTCAGAGGGAAAAAAATATGTTTTTCTTTTACTCACAAAGAATAGTTTTCTGACTTCTGTTTCCCCACCTTCTAATATCAGTCCCAGAGAGCCTCACCCACAATTAGTGGGCTGATCAAAGTAGTTTCCCAAAGACCAGTTTCTGACAGAAATTCTATATTCCTAAAAAATTTTTAAAAGATAGTTTTGCCTAGAAAAACTGCATCAGAAAATTTACAATTATTTGATCAGAGACCTTAATAAAGGAAAATGTGAAATATTACTATCAAGCTAAAAGGTTATTTTAAGGCAGCAATAACTAAAATTTTAAAGTTTACCCTTGACAACTATTATAGTAGTGCAGAAAATTATTAGAACAGTGACTATTTCCTTTTCAAATTTTAAAACCAAAAGTAAAATTCTTTACTACCAAAATACAACATATCTATAATTAACCCTAGAGAAGAAAAAATATTAATTGTATTAGATCTACTCCAATTTAATTATGAGTTATTTTTTAAAGTTGTGTCTTCAGCGAAGATAAGAATCTTACTATGTTAATGGCCCGTATGGAGAGACTGGAATAAATGATTCAAATAACAGGTAAAAGTCTTTGAGAGAATAGAACAAAGAGATGGGAGGCAGCTAAGATAAATGACCAGCTACAAATATCCTTGGTGGGAGGGTGAGGAGAAGGAGAAATAGTGTAGAGCTGAGAAAATAATAAAAGTGAACAGCCTAATTTTCATATTCCAGAGCACAGCATCCTAATAGAATTGAACAAGATAGGTTGTTGCAGACAATGACTAAAAATAATTAGATTAAAGGATTGTCATAGCTATCACCATCTGTGTATGGTTTCATACTTTTCAACATAAGCAATCTCTATATGACAGGCAGTAATATTTTAGAAGAAAGGATGTGGGACCAGATATTTTGGGTTGGGATTCCAATTCCAGTACTTACGGCTAGTAATATAATGAGTGTTTCAGTATCTATCTCAGTAAAATGTATATAGCAGTAGCGTCTGTTTCAAGGATTGCTTTGAGGATAAATTGGGATGATTCACAAAATGTAGTACACCTTCATTAGAATGTGTTAGCTGTGTTATTATCAAAGATAACCCAATGTATTGTCAGAAACTTTTTCAATTGAGATATAAATGAGATATGACTCTCCTTGGCTTCCCCAAATGGCTCAGCTTTGCATCTCTCCCATCTGCCCAGGGCAAAACTGTAAATGTGTGTAAAAAATAATTAAGACAGAAACAGAATTTTTTTAAAACAAAACAAAAAGAAAATGTATCCACCAGGTCCATGATCAGGATATCATCTGACCTCTGCTTAGGAATTCTGAGCTTATCAACCTGTGTCCTCTAAGCCAAGCTTTCCTCTATATTTTCCCAGTTTACTTATGCCTGGGTGTCTGCCACACCCACCCCCAGCTCTGATTTCTGCTGATAACACTGCTGCTCTTCCTTGAATTTAAACCTACTTCACTAATACCCAACAATCTGCAGAGCCCATGCCAACCCTTTATCCACAGGGGTTAGAAATGGGCCTCTAATTATTGGCTTCTAATTCCTCATCAGCTAGATCAGTGCTCTTCTGATTTGAATTTCAGTTCTTCCTAGATAACCTTGCCAATGTACCTCCACAGCTAGATTAGGTGCCCTTGGGTATGGATTTGATCCAGAACACACTACAGTTTTTCCTGACTGTTTGGACAGTGCTAACCAACCCCTGTTACAGCCTGCCCTATACTTAAATACATTCTCTTTATTCTTGCTTAGTTTTGATACCCCACCTTTCCCTTTCAAACCAATTATTATTTCCTAGGATACCTTTAGCAAAATAGTCTCAATTGTGATATAATTAGATATAAACCTGTAGAGATGTTTAATGAGATAAGAAATGTAGGGTGGGATATCTTATGGCTCAATAGTATTATCTGTCCTACTTATTTATTGCAAAGGTTTACTCTGAAGTGAGAATTTATATACAAAGCATCCTTTACCTTATAAATTGTATGCACATATATATGATATTTTATTTCTGGTTCTCCCTTCCTCTGCCTTTCTAGTCATGTCTTTGTTTCCCTGGTATCATTATCTTATTATATTCTTCTCCCTCACTTTCTTATTAATCTTTTAACCTCATCCCCTATATCCCTTACATTTTACTTTTGTCATCCAATAGGTTCATATTTCTCTATGGAAGGTCAGCTCTTCTCCGAGTCCAGCTTTCACACTAGCTCTCATCCTTTCCCTGGTGCTTGTGATGGGACTGAACAATCAAGCCTTAAGACATAATACGTGTAGTCATACAACGGAATAAGTATAAATCTAAAAAGAATGTAATTAATATTTATACGTTGATATGAAAATATCTCCAAAGTAGATTATAAGGTAAAAACAAGATGCAGGAAAATGTATGCAGAATTATTCAATTTATGGTAATAAAAAGAATACACAAGCAACATGCATTATATTTGTTTTGAAAAGTACAGCAGTAAACTAATTGACATCTTTTTAGAGCTTTTCAAAAGACTCTAACTCTTTGATTCAGTCATCAAAATCACTTATTGATTGCTCAAAGCACTATCTTAGGTGTGGGAATATGAAGATGAATAAAGCATGACTTCTAATCTTGAGAAGTTAACTGTAGGGAACCAGCCCCCACATAGCACCCTTGGGTACTCCAAGTTCAGTGGCAACAAAGGAATGAGAAAAAGACAGATTAAAAATGCATATAGTGGGACAAGAGGGCCAGTGCATAAAGGAGGGTGCAAAGGGCCTGAGCTCTGTTCTTCCACAGTATTTATTGGTAACAATCAAAACAGCACAAGAATAGCTGCTAGAAAAAACAAACAACAACTAGTGGTTGAATTTGAAACTCCCTAATATTATTATAATAAAATAACTTCCAATATTTTAAAATTTTATATTATTTTTCTGACTGATTCAGTATTGATTTATGTTTCAGATTATCTGGTTAATTAGAAATAGGAGAAAACAAAATGGTAGAAATATTTGTTTAGAGCTTAGATATTGTATTTCAATCAATGTTTTTAAATGGAAATTTGTAGTATTCTCTTTAAGGAATATTTTCAATTATAAGAAACAAAAAGTAAGCCACATATAAGTTCAACTTTCTTGTCTCAGCCCAACTAAAAGTTATTGCTCATCATTACTGAGTTGAAGTTATTTGTATTTCTATCTAGGGGATATTTTTTTGTGAAATAAAGTTCTCACTTTTGTTTTTATATATTTTACTTTCATTATCATTATTTGATACAGGCTCTTGCTCTTGCTCCGTCACCAGCCAGCAGTGCAGTGGCATGATCATAGCTCAATATAAACTCAAATTCCTGGGCTCAAGTGAGTCTCCCACCTCAGCCCCCCAAGAGGCTGAGACCACAGGTGTGTGCCACTACACCCAGCTATTTTATTTATTTATTTATTTATTTATTTTTTTGAGAGAGTCTCGCTCTGTCACCCAGACTAGAGTGCAGTGGCACAATCTTGATTCACTGCAACTTCTGCCTCCTGGGTTCACTCAGCTTCCAAAGTAGCTGGGATTACAGGTGCCTGCCACCACACCTGGCTAATTTTTGTATTTTTTTGGTAGCGACAGGGTGTCACCATGTATGCCAGGCTGGTCTCAAACTCCTGACCTCAAGTGATCCGCCCACCCCGGCCTCCCAAAGTGCTGAGATTGCTGGCATGAGTCATTTCGCTCGGCTTAATTTTAAGTTTTTTGTAAAGAAGCGTCTTCTATATTGTGTGGGCTGGTCTTAACCTCTGGCTTCAAGTGGTCCTCCCACCTTAGCCTCCCAAAGTGCTGGAATTACAGGCATGAGCCCTCATGCCTGCCCTATATTTTACTTTCTTCTGGATTTTTTAAAGCTTTATATTAACCAACTCATGTTAATTAAGAAAAAAATTAAGAATAGTTGAGATTTTTATCTGAGAAAATGTATGCACAGAATGGTTCATGACTAGACTAAATTTAAGAGTCACAGAAAAATCATGGAAGGGGCTTGCCGTTGTGTTATGGAGAAATCCTTCTGTGGTAAGTAGAATAAAGGTCTACCAAAGTTGTCCACATACTAAATCCTGGAACCTGTGAATATGCTACCTTTCATAGTGTCTTAATTCATTTGTGCTGCTATAACAAAATACCTGTGACTGCGTTATTTACAAACAAATTTACTTCTTACAGTTTTGGATGCTGTAAACTCCAAGATCAAGGTGCCAACCAAATCGGTGACCAATGAGGGCCATTCTCTTCTTGCAAGATGGCATCCTGTTGCAGCATCCTCTGAAGGGAATGGATGCTGTGCCCTCATGTGGCAGATGGAACAGAAGAGCAAAAAAGGGATAAACCCACTCCCTCTAACCCTTTTATAAGGGCCCTTATCTTCATGAGGACTTTGCCCTCATGACTGAATCACCTCTGAAATACCATCACATAAGTTTCAGCATATGAACTTTGAGGAACACATTCAAATCATAGTATGTAGCAAAAGGGAGTTTGCAGATGTGATTAAGTTAAAGATATTGAGATGAAAAGTTTTCTTGGATTTTCTGTATAAATAATCACAAGGGGCCTTATAAGTGAAATGAGAAAACAGGAGAGTCAAAGTGGCTTTGAAGATGGAGGAGGGAGTCGTCCAGGAGGTAAGGAATGCTAGTGGTCTCTTGATGACAGAAAAAAGTAAGAAAATGGATTCCGTCCTAGATCTCCCACAAAGGAATGCAGCATTGCTGACAGCCTGATTTTAACCCAGTGACCAAGGTTAACCATTTTGGACTTCTGACCTTCAGAACTATAAGACAAATTTGCATTGTTTTACACCACTAAGTTTGTGGTAATTTGTTATAGTAGCAATAGGGAACTACTACATCTTCCTAATGGTATTTTATATATATATATATATATATATATATAAAATTGGTAAATTAAAATTCCCTCCCATTATGTAGGTCAGTGTTAGAGACAACTGAGTGGGATCACTTTAGCTAGTCTGGCTAGTCAATGTTGACTAATGTGGCTAGGGTGATTGGTAAGATCAGTGAGAATGTGACAAGTGAGGCTGGTGACAAGCTGTCCAGGCAATCAAGACAGTGTCCGTCAGAAAGACTGAGTGACATGAGGCATATCAAGTGTCAGATGACCAAAAAGGGAGGGCAGCCTTCAGCATGAATGTTCACTAAGTGTGAGAGGAACCAAGTGAGACACAACACTCCACCCACTCTTTCACTAAAGGTGAAAGAACAATGAGTAAAATGGCACACATCTAGATGCCATTTAATTTAAGAGTATCATGTATTCTGGGCTTAACATGAAGCAAGAAAGAATGAGGACAGGATTTCTATCAGCAAAAGAAGACAGTTTGAGATTTCATGGGCTGTAAATGACAGAGAATATAAAGAAATATTATATACAGAGACAGAACGTAGATAGTAAGAATGTTTTAAACACAGAAAAAACTGAAAGAGAAACTATAAATTAGGAAGTACTATTTGCCTTATTTATTACAGTTTATAACTTTCAAAATTGTCTGAGACTGCAGGTATTAGGCACTTTATGCAGCCTGTTGCAACAGGGAGAATATCCAGAGTATTTTCTGGAAAATAGGAAGCGAAGAGTCTTTCTATGACAAATTTACAATGTTGTCAGTTTGTTGGCTTGGCTTAGGCAAGTATTGCAATCATTTTGTGTGAGCAAGATCATAAGAGTGAGAGCGAGAATGATTTGACCTATTTGACTCCATTACATTCTGTTTTTGGAATTGTTAGCTCAAAGAAGGAAGCTAGAGGAGTGGGTCAGTCTCTCAGTACCAGGAATCGTAGATCAGTGTCCAGTCAAAGAAGAACATTTTAAATTTCTCCATACAGCAAAAGGTCCATATATTTAATTTATGAAGATAAAGAAATTCTTATAATTGTTTCAATATATTTCTTTAATAGTTAGGAAACGCACCTGCTGCTATAATTGATAAACCCTGAAATCTCAGTGGCAGATCCTTCCTTCTTGTGCCATTTTCAACATGTGACTCCCATGGGCTCCTTTAGGGTTTTTTCTTTCCACCCAGCTTTGAGTAGAAAAGAGTATGGAGGATCATACAAAGGAGGTTTTCATAGCCTACATGATCTACAAGTAGTCTACATCACTTCCACTGACCTTCAACTAGCCAAAATTTGGACATATGACTACCTCTAAGTGCAAGAATGGCTGAGAAATTTAGTTTATCTGAGTTTCCAGGAGGAAAAGATAATGGATTTTATAAATAAGTAAAATTTTAAAAAGAATTATAATTAAAAATATTAAATGATAAAATGATGAACTCCCTAGTGGAAAAAAAATGGCCAATACCATTGACCAATAAAAATGTTAAATATTCAGAATCATTAAGGATTAAAACTAAGACACAAAAACATATTTCCCTATTAAACAGTCAATACTAAAAACAATGATAATACCATGTTATTTTCCTATGCTGCTGAGAAATAGTCTCAGACACCGTCTCAAAAAAAAAAAAAAATAGGTAAAAATGTTTTTTTCAGGTTTCAGAGGACAATGTGAAAATATGTACCTGAAAGACTTTTAAATGTGCATACTCTTTGATCTAGGCTTCCAATTCAAAAAAATTATCAGGAATAAATAATCAGAAACCTATTCAAAGATTGAAGTCCTCCTAGATTCTGTCTATCACATTCTACAGCAACTGATGAGCAAATCATGTTAGATCTAGCTTCACAATATGTCCAGAATCTGATCCCTCTTTCCACCTCCACTCCTTTTTTACCTATAATCCAATTTTCACATAGTAGTTACCGTAACCCTTTTAACACCTATGTCAAATAAGGTCACTCTTCAAAAGCCTTTAGGAGCTCTATAATTTTCTCATCTCAGAGGAAAAGCCCAACTGGCTCCATGTCATCGTCCCCATCAAAGTCCATGCCAAACTTCTCTGGTCTAATCTCTTACTTTCTACCCCTTCTCTCCTTGCTCCCTTTCCTTAGGCTACACAGTCTTTGCTGCTGTTCCTGCAAGAACCAAACATGCTTCCTCTTCAGGGCTTTGCTGTTCACCATCTGCATTTCTGCTTCAGTGTCAGTGAAGCTGATCCTATTCCCTCCACGTAAAAAGCAATGTGCCCCCTCCACTCACCTTTCCTATTTCCTTCCATGATATTTATTTCCATCTGATACACAACCATGTTAAATTGAATTTTGCTCATCTTCCTGTGTTACAATGTCAGGAATTTTGTATCTCTTAAAATAATGCTGGGTAGGTGCTCAGTAAACATTTGCCAAATGAATAGTGAAATATTATGAAAATTCTGAAACACTGAAAAATAGCAGACTGGTTAAATAAATTGGGATGATTGACTTAAATGCCATACAGTCAGACAAGATGGAATCAAAAACATAAAATAAGAATGTGATTCTGTATCTCACTGGAGGAAGTGCTGGAAATACCAATTTCCAAATAGATAACAGTTATTTTTCTTACCCAATTGGTTTCTGAAACCATAGGAAAGGGAAGTTTCTCATCCTAAAATACTTTTACATGTATCAAATGATTCTATGGTTCTCAAATACATTTCTCTGTGAAGTGTGTGTGTCCAAGGGCTAAATGGGTTTTTTTAAATTATCTTATTCTTTGCAGATAGTGTTGATTATTGGTCAGCTTCAGCTGCAGTAACATAATACCACAGACTGCATAGTTTAAAGAACAGAAGTTAATTTTCTCACAGACTGTAGCCCAAGATCTATGTCCAGCAGGTTTTTGTTTCGGGCGAGACTTTTCTTCCCGACTTGCTGGTAGCCTTTCCATGATGCATGCTTGTGGAGACAGTAAGTGAGTGAACAAGCTTTTAGTGTCTCTTCTTATAAGAACATTCTGTCTACCAGATTAGGGCCCCATTCTTATAACCTCATTAACCTTAATTACCTCCTAAATGTCCCATCTCTAAATATAGTCACATTGGAGATTAGGCTTTAACATGTGAATGGTGAGGGGAGGGGCACACAATTCAGTCTCAGGTATGTTTACTCTGTTTATTAAAAAAGCAAAGAGTCGGCCGGGCGTGGTGGCTCAAGCCTGTAATCTCAGCACTTTGGGAGGCCAAGGCGGGTGGATCACGAGGTCAAGAGATCGAGACCATCCTGGTCAACATGGTGAAACCCCGTCTCTACTAAAAATACAAAAAATTAGCTGGGCATGGTGGCACGTGCCTGTAATCCCAGCTACTCAGGAGGCTGAGACAGGAGAATTGCCTGAACCCAGGAGACGGAGGTTGCGGTGAGCTGAGATCACGCCATTGCACTCCAGCCTGGGTAACAAGAGCGAAACCCCCGTCTAAAAAAAAAAAAAAAGCAAAGAGTCACTAAACCTATTTTGCACCACCTCAACTAATATTGTTTTTCCTAGGCTGTCTTCTTAAGATTTATCCAAAGATCCTGAGAATATACTGAGTTAAACTAATAACCTTTTGGATTACTAGTCTAGATGAGATCATTAATTTGGAAACACTAGCAAAGCAATTAAGTTATAAGAATAATACATCAAAGCCAAATTTTATTAGAAGGAAAAATGCAATGTTCAAAAAGTTAAATAAATGTTTAATGAAGAACAAGATTACTTTTTAAAAACTGTTTTAACCCTAAGGAACACACACACCCAGATATTTTTCAGAGAAACTTGATCCTTCAAGGCAGCAATGATAATGCTTAATTAGGCTGGGTGCGGTGGCACACGCCTGGAATCCCAGCACTTGGGGAGGCCAAGGCAGGTGAGTCACAAGGCCAAGAGATGGAGATCATCCTGGCCAACATGGTGAAACCCCGTCTCTACTAAAAATATGAAAATTAGCTGGGCGTGGTGGCACGCACCTATAGTCTCAGCTACTCAGGAGGCTGAGACAAGAGAATCGCTTGAACCCGGGAGGCGGAGGTTGCAGTGAGCCAAGATCATGCCACTGCACTCCAGCACTCAAACCTGGTGACAGAACAAGACTCCGTCTGAAAGAAAGAGAGAGAGAGAGAGAGAGAGAAGAAAGAAAGAGAGAGATAGAAAGATAGAAGAAAGGAAGGAAGGAAGGAAGGAAGGAAGGAAGGAAGGAAGGAAGGAAGGAAGGAAGGAAGGAAAGAGAAAGAAGAAAGAAAGAAAGATAAAGATAATGCTTACACACCAATCTAGCTGTGTAGGGTCTGGAAACATCAAAAAGTATTTTTGACCAAAATAATTTGTTACAATGGTGATACGTGGTCAGATTTTCAGTATATGTTGGTAATCTTCCCAACTTCTTCTTACAATTGTATTTAACTCCATTATAGGAAGGAATGGTTTGTCTCAATATTGTCCCATCTTGTAACCCCAGGATTTAGTACCAAATACTTATATTTATTAGTTAAAAATGTTTAAATCAAGGGGAACATGAATTCATGGTAATAGTCATCTCTCTTTCTCTCTCTCCCTCTGTAGGTTATTAAATAAGCTGAACTTATAGAAGAATAAATCAGAAATGTTTATAGTTTTCTTGAAATACTGCCACTAACAAGGCCATTTTAAATTCCCCTTGTCTCCTGTAGCAGATATCTTACCACATTATCACATCTTGGGAAAATTCGGTAATTTCCCAGTCCATTTCAGAGATTAAAAACCCACTTTGTTGGCCAGGCGAAGTGGCTCACACCTGTAATCCCAGCAATTTGGGAGCCTAAGGCAGGTGGATCGCTTAGGAGTTCCAGACCAGCCTGGGCAACATAGTGAGACCCCCATCTACTAAAAATACAAAAATAATTATCCAGGTGTGGTGGTACACTGCCTGTAGTCCCAGCTATTTAGAAGCCTGAAGTATGAGGATCACTTGAACCCAGGGATGGGGTGGGGGAGGTTGCAGTGAGCTGAGATCATGCCACTGCACTCCAACCTAGGAGACAGAGACCCTGCCTAAAACAAAAACAGAAACAGAAACACTTTGTCTAAAAATCAAATTTCCTATGCAAATTGAAGATTTTCTCTTTGCGGCTAACTTCTAGCATTGTGGCTTAAGGGACCTAACATAGGGAAGGAGGATATGGTCTTCTTTTTATTTCTTTCCCATTATCTACCTTGGGGACAAAATAGTTTGCCTCTGCTTCTCAGCTTCTTCTTCCCTCTTGGATATTCTAGCTTTTTCAGTGAGCGGACACAAGGAGGATTCCAAAAGATTCATTGGACCATTACTGAAGTCTTCTTTCCTGTGTTTTACACTAATTGTTGGGCCAATAATGACTGTCCATTGACAATGCTCTCTTAATGGCAGGCACTCAAATACTGGATTTCTAGAGGAGATACAAATATAAGTCCTTTCAAAGCCTTCCCAAACCACACTGTCCTGCTTCACCTCATCTAACCCTACAAGGCCCTGCATTTACTAATATATTCCATGGACTCTTGTCGCTGGTTATTTCACCCACGAGTTAGCTTTCTGTGTTGGTGTCAGCATGATGGCATAAGTGCAGGTATTTTTTGTGGTGCTCACTTTGCCTAACGGAAACTTATATGCTCTCATCAAAGCAGAATTGATAGCTGAGCTGCACCACAGGCCCCTCTGTGTGCCCTGCCATCATTCTCAAGTTGTTTTTCTCCTGTTCACATAGACTTTGAGAAGACTGACTAGCCTAGGACCTAATCTGATGTACAACTAGAAAGTGAGGTGCTGATTTTCCTTTTTTGCAGATACCCCCAGACTGCCAGTGACTCCCTTAGAGTCTGTCTCACTTGGCTTTTTGGGGAGGGGCAGGGGCAAGCCATAGCAGTACCTCCTAAGCCAAAAATCATGACTCCAATAATTCCCATTTTCCTCTTTTCTATTCTCCTGTTTATATGGATTTGGGTAATTGTGGTTAGTGAGGGGCCAGTTCTGCTTATTTAGTATATGGGGGCTCCATCCTCATTTTTGGACCCTAGTTATGTTTTGTATAACAGGGAAAGTTTCATACAACTTCAAGTTACATGTTCTGTGTTGAACTTTGCATTTCACTCTTTTGCATTCCACTCTTACAGCTTTTATCTTATTTTACACTTATTAGCATCCTGTGAGATGCAGGACAGCTACCTCAATTTTGCTGATGAAACTGAGACAATAGAGGCAACCTAGAACTAATTAATTGGAAAAAAAAAACAACAACCTTTACTGAGCACCAGATATGTATGTGGTGCTATGATAGAAGAT